CATATCCATCAGAAGACGAAAATCGCACTAGAAATCGCAACAAAAATAGCAAATGTAAACGGGCCTTAATGCTGCCCTGCCTGCCCATTTCTTAAATACTCCAACCAATAAATTTGTACTTTTTCTTGTGTTCAAGTTTTCACTAAAAGTTTTTAATTCTTCAATAACATCATTATCCGCGAAGACAAAGCGAGAAGCCATTGTTTTTATTGCTATTTAATTAAAGCAAGAAGCTTCCCGCGCTTGCGTCTAAACCAATAAGTGAAAATATGCCCTCCTCATTAGCCAATCATATTTGAGTAATTTTGCCCTCTATATGATTAATTAACGGTGTAATTAGACAATTATGACAATTAGCCTGCAGGTCACGCAATATATGTCTATATTCAACACCAAACGTTTGTCTGTCTAACAAGCAAATGTTAATATTGATTAAAGTATCTTAATTAATAAATAAGTAATGTAAATTAATTTCGTGTGTTCTGGTAATTTTAATGAGAAATTTATCAAAACAAATGTATCAATGCACATTCACTGTTTACCACAGCATACCTTTCATTTATCACTGCACAAGTGCAACTTCCAATGATGGATATATTGCCGTATTGGAACGGATTGATGAATATCGAATTTTGAAATTAAATTTAGATTTAGATAGCGGGGCAAACATTAGCATTAAAGACTAGTTCTATTTTAATCAGATTATTGCGATGACATGACATTGCACAAACCAGTACAATCCTATATGGCTGCCATCCTTGTAGATTTATTTTTGTGGGATGGAGGTCGACGGACCACTTAAGTCTAGTAAGTCCCTATAGGGATTAGTCGAGTAGATCCTAAAATCAAATGAACGATTAACTTGTGTACGACACAGGCAGATCCGGCCTCAGTATAGATTTTGAATTTTGTTTAATATAGTGACTTTCAATAGCCTTATTTTTAAACTACTTTTGGAGTTGATGGCCATTTACTGCAGGTTTAGATGATAGCTATAGCTCCACTCTCTTCACATGGTTTCATGCCTGTATATTTACTTTTTATTTTTATACCCTTCCATTCGTGACGTTTATAAATTATTTTCTAGCTAAACTTCCTTCACAACAAAGTCACAAGTATAGAACAATAGAAGGTGGATATCTCTTTAATATTGCCGTAAAAATTACATCATTAGACATTACGATTACACCATTGCTCATTAGACATTACATCTGCAATCTAAACAAAAATTTAGAGTTTGAAATAACAAGTTAATTATATTTGCTTGAGAGAATGTCTCGAACTATTATATCTAATTATTAACGCAAAGATATTAACGCTAGATATAATATCTAGTTGCATCTTTACATACTGCTGTCCTTAGGCTTGCTTAGTCCTCTTGAACATCCACACAATGTCACACTATTGTTTATTACGTAACGGTTTGGAGTTAGCCGTAAATGTCAAACTAAAGGTCTCTAATTATGAGAAATATACTGCATAATGCAGTATGAGTGGGAAGTTCCATGCAAGGAAAGACCTTTTTGTATTTAAAGCACACGGTTCAGCCTTTTGAATGATGGTTTTTAAGACGCATTTCAGCCCTTTTAATTGAAAAAACTAACTAGGAAAATCAATTATGCATAATTCAAGATCAGTATAAATTCGATGTTTTTAACAATAAAATTGTTTTAAAATGTTAAAAGCATTAAGTTTGCTAATCTTGAATTATGCTTAATTGATTTTTCTAGTTAGTTTTTTCAATTAAAAGGGCTGTGTAATATCCATGCCAAGTTTTATTAACTATAAGTAAAGTTTTATTAACTATAAGTAAAGTTCTATTAACTATAAGTTGTTTTTCAAATACAATAATATCAAGCTCGCCATGCTTTGCTCGCCATGCGGTCCAGCTTATGTCCTCGCAAAGCAATGTTGTCTATATACAGTATGTGACCACAGTTAATAGATGTGACGTTGACGTCATTATCACAGGCTTAAATGGCCTTAAAAACCATCATTCAAAAGGCTGAACTGTGCCTTTAATAGACCTTTCCCCTTATAACCAAAATTTTGATCTAGGCAAGTCTAGACAAATATTTCATCACAGCTTGAAAGAGCATCACAAAATTAGTAATATTCCAAAGTTTCGTTGCGAAATGTTGTAAAATGAGGAAAATAGAGCCTTGCGAAGTTTGCAATTTTCAGTCATTTTGCATTACAAACGGGAAATTGCAGCCCCAACACCCGAATCGGATGTCAATTTCCCGTTTGTAATACAAAATGACTGAAAAACGGCAAACTTTGCAAGGCTATATTATCCGCATTTTACAAGATTTTGCAACAAAACTTTGGAACATCACTAATTTTGTGATGCTCTTTCAAGCTGTGATGAAATTTTTGTCTAGATCGAAATTTTAGTTATAAGGGGAAAGGTCCATTGAACAGAATTATTTGGCAACAGAAAAATAGAACCACAGAAATAGACCAGAAGCCTCACTGTACACCTTTCTAACATTTTCGTGTCCGCGATTTTTGCCTTGCGGATGACGAATTTCGCACGCTAGATGACGTGTGTGACACTTGCTGCGAACATCACGTCAGCGTCAATTCCTCAAATCAACGGTTTTTCTTGAAAATCGAAAAACATGCTATAATAATAATAATAATAAAATCTTTATTTATACTGATAAAAAAGACCGTTCAGTCAATTACATAGATTGGCTGGTATCAATCGGTGATCAGTGTATAACAAGTATATATACAATAACATAAGTGCGTAACAGTGCATAAATAAGGCTATATAATGTAAACACTGTTTACACCTGCAACCTCCGCTGCGATTCCAGGCGCGACACTCCTCCTCCGGTGCATGCGAACGAGCAGATGAGCAATGAATGTTCCGAGTACATGTACCTTCATCTAAACATTCACAACCCATCTACCCCCTCACACCCACCAAGAGAAAAAGACCGCACCCAAAATCGCAGCAAAAATTGCAAGTGTCAACAGGCCTTAAGATGTCTAAAATTACAAACTACAATTGTGCGTAACAGCATCCATGTTTATGAAGTGTTTAAACACTTCATTCTTGAACCGCACAAGTGTTTTTAATTCTCGTATTTCTGTCGGTAGAGAATTCCAATCTTTGGCAGCCGAGAATCTGAATGAGGTCTCGCCACATCTAGTTCTTACTGGCGGTAAATCTAGCAATGTTGGATCTCTAAGAGATCGACAGTGCATTTGTGATCGTCTTACTAGATAGCCTATCAACTGCTTCGGGCAGTTTATGTTGTTTACGATCTTATAAACGTATTGCAATCTTATAAGACGACGTCTTCCGTACAGTGACAAAAGGTGTAATTTAGCACGCATCTCCTGAGTACATGTCTTACGGTTCGCGTGTAATGAAAGTACAATTCACAAAATTCACATTTTCACTTACTTCTTAACATCTGTTTTAATCCAACTAGCTCTGTAGGCACGAGCGAAATTTAGTGTTGATGTAAATATCCATTTAGTTCATGTTTCCCCGGTGAAAATATAGTCTATTCCAAAGCTGATTTCGACGTACTTTAGCTTTTCAGAAACCGTTGGCCTTCCTCAGTGAGATTATCTACTGTTTCACAAATATATTTGATAGTAAACAGCTAAAATATTCTCCGAAAGTCTATATTTTAGCTCTTCGACGCGAAAATGGCAACTCAAGAAGAAATGAGCCGCTATTTTTGGTCAGCGTCGACAAATTGCCCACCTGTTTGCTGTTCATAGTTAATCACTGAGCTATACTATATTACTAGAGGACCTCACTGAGCTGTATAATAACTGGAGGACCTGCTCCTATACTTCGTTCAGTCAACTATGGCGTTCCGTTCCGGTCAAAATTATTTCAAGTCAACAAGTAATAGTCAAACATTATATCAACATGTTATAACTCTCAATATAATGTTGAAAATATCAAGATGAAGTTCAAACTCAAAAAAATAAAACGAAAGTTTAAAGCATATACTTCAAAACTGCAAAATACATTTCAAACCTCTAAGGATATACATGAAAATTAAACGCAAGTCGAAACTTTTATTTATAATACGAAACTCCCAAATGATAAGTCAAAGCCGCGGCTCATAAAAATAAATCGAAAAGTCAAAAATATAAATCGAAAGGAAACGGAAGTAAGCAACTTAATACAGAGGAAGTCAGGAAACGGAAGTTAACCACAAACATTGCTAAGCTCGTCTTTTAACAATAACATTCGCT